ACTTAAGGTTTAGTTCACATTTTATTAATTTTTGTCAATGAAGTAAACTTAGGGTTTATTTCACATTTTACTAACTTTTTAAGAAATAAAAAAAAATAAAAAAAGTATTTGTAGTCGGTCCGGTCTAGTTCCTCCTTGGAACCGGGAAACGGACCACCCGAACACTGGTTCCACTTTTAGGAATCGGGAACCGGACCGACACTCTCAGGAACCGGACTAAACCGGCTGGTTTGATCCGGTCCGGGCGGTTCCCGATTTGGGCGGTCTGATTTGCACACCCCTAATTTTAAGTAGATTAATCTTGTTTGTCATCAATTATTGAGAAACATGACAATACCAGCATTGGTTGCAACAGTAATTAAATATTTATTTCATTTGAGTTTTGTCATCTAATACCATAAATGTGGCATATATCAACAAATAAAATATAAATAACTTATAATATAATTGATAAAAAAAGAAAATTTTGTACCATAAGAAATGTTGAATTCTAATTATTACAGACAACTATGTAGATAGATAAGTAAAGTTAGAATATGAACTTTCTAATCTTTGACATTGTCAATTAGAAGCGCAAAAATATTAAGATATATCCTGAACACGCATTTACACAAATTTTTTATGTTTGAATTTGATGGTGTTAATTGTTGAATAAAGTCATCTATAGGTGATATAAAGTAAAGAGGACCCTCCACTTTTAATAGATCTTAATCATTTTTTTTCTTTTTGAAATGTCCTCAATCACGTAAGTCGCGGTGTGTATTTTACCAACTATTTCTTTCTATGATTTAAGCATTCAAATATCTCGTAATAAGGCAATTTTGCTTATTATGATTCAGATCGATCACATGATATATTTTATTATAGATTTGGTTATGTAGTTCCTTCATTTGGTGTTTATTTTATAGGAATATCTATAACAAAGTAAGTATGTAAAAGCGTTTCAAATTATTTTTAATTACTAGAACATTTATAAATTTTTTAAAAGTAGAGTTTTTAATATTAAACTGAAAGAATTAGAACAAAAAACTAAACTACAATGTTTTTATAATAGGACGAGAGTTGTCATCAATGGGGACTTCTTGGGAGCTTTGACTCTTTTGTAGTAGTTTTGAGATATTTGTACGTATATATTTTAAAAGTTACTTTTTGTTGGGCTTAATTGTATTAGTCACACGAGATGTATAGTACAATTTGCTCATTCGAATATGATTTAGCTGGTGAGATGTATACATTCCTATTTTAAGATTTCTTTTTGGCTCTCTTCATTTAGTCAAGAGAAAGTATTAAATATCACCCACCCAAAAACCTCTAGTTTAGGAATTATGAGCTTAACTTGTTGGAAAATGTTGAGGATTACTTGACCTTCGTAGATTATCTGCATGATTGATACTTGCTAGAAGCATTCTTCTAATTTGTCCCATATAAAGCTACTAAATTATAATGGAAAATAATCAATTTAGTTCTAAACCTTACAATTTTCTCAATTTAATCATAAACCTTTTTGATGGATTTCCAATGTAGTCTTTCATATTGATTTTCACAGGAAATTATTAATATGGCGATCTAATCATTGCCGGCTGTCTTACGTGACACGGTTGGTGATATAAGGTGGACAAAACAACATTGTTTTTGTTTTTTCTTATTTTTCTAATTTTTTTCTTATTCTTCCCTTTTCTGTCTTTTCTTTCCTTCTTTTCAACGCTAAGATCTCCTTTTACTATCATCTTCAACCTCTCGGTTGCTTGGCCAAAGCTCTTCCATTGCTCGTCCGTTGAAGCCCACTATTGCCAGAGCACTGAATGGATTTACTTAGCTAGCTTCGTGAAAAATTTAGGACTTACTTTGCCAAAGCACGAATGAGCGACGATGGTTCTAGGAAAGCAGGGAGTCTTTTCGTTGGCTGCTGCCACCTCCATCATTATTGATAGGAAAGTAGAGAGCCGTTGCCACATCGATGTCTACGGCTACACACTGAGATTTTATGACATTCCCGGAGTAACTCACTTGAGATATTATTCGTTTTGGCCCATTCTCATCCCATACCGAGTTTCACGGTTTTATCTTTTGACGTATAGGTTAGCACTTTCTCAAAAGGTCAACTATGTTGGTATTGTTCTTACTCGAGCACCCTTAACATCGGACTTGTCAAAGGGTGCCTATTGCGAGTTAATTCCAATTTCACATTATTTGTTCATTCCTTCTCCTTCCGTTATCCTAGAAGCCTGCCAAAAGCCACTCCTTATTTGGTCCCTCTGGCCCAAATGAGCACTTCTCGCCCTCGTCGGACCAAGTCGTTACGGTCCACCAGCTTTCGCATGGTTCGTCCCCGAACCACACACCTACTATTCGACTATGATACCATATTATGAGACCTTTATATTAACTCACTCGAGATATTATCTGTTTTGATCTATCCCATATCAAGTTTCGCGGTTTTGTTCTTTGGCGTATATATGGGCACTTTCTCAGGATGTCACCCATCGTAGTAAGGCTCTGACCTCATCATGTTTAACATTGAAGTCCCAATGCTAAAAGAGTTGCCATTGTGTCAAAAAATGCTTTTTGTGAGTTAATTCTAATTTCACATATATATCCTATAAATGTTTTCCAACTATTTGGTGTGCAGTTTAGTTCATTTCTACCCCCTTCACTATCTTAAAAGCCTGCTAGGATCTGCTTTTTTTCTGGCCCTTTGATTTAGGTGAACACTCCCGTCCTTATCTGATTGGGTTGTTACAATTCACAACCGAGCTTCGAGGCATGAACATTCGTCACGGAGACATCGACACTCAGGGCCGAATGCTGCCTCGTTGTAGATTTGCAACAAATCTGGGAAAAGATCGCATTGTCTAATGAATATTGCGGTGATGTTGAATATATGGATGTTATAACTTTGCCCGAAACATGTAATTTTGTCTCCTGGATATTCTATCAAAAAGTAGAATGCATCAACTAACTTGAATTAAAAAACACACACAAAATCAACTCTTCTCTCTATTATATGATTCAACGAGCAACACCCACGAAAATATTGAGCAAAAAGCACAAAAAATTCACTTTCTCAAAAGACAGACATGAAGAAGTGCAGTTTCTGATTGGATCTATCTATTGGGATGGGAGTAGGGCATCGGCAAGCGTGAGAAAGCTGGAGATGCCGTCAGAGGTATGGGGTCCGAGAATGCGCCTGTGGAGGGCGAGGACAGATTGTCGGCGAAGGGCCGGCGAACGAGCTAGGCCAGGCGGGCGATGAGAGATGGCCTTTTGAGGGCATGAAAGATCATGATGTCGAACAAGATCAAGGTGTTCTTTCGCTAAACTCTTTGAGTTGCGCAAGATCTGCGCATTCCCGTTTGTATAGTTGTCTTCACCTAGGATCAAAGATGACGGACCCACACCGGTGGCTGAGCGCTACCGCCGTCACCACCGCAATCTTCCCCATCCGCATGTTCTCTGTGTGTGTGTGTGTGTTTGTGTTTGTTCTTGTTTTTCATTTTTTTAATATTTATTGTCCTATGTTTTAGTCCATGTCATCCTACTGACCACCAAAAAAAAATTCCATATCATGGATATTCATAGCCCACTTATAATGACGTGGCAGTCTATGTGTTTAATAGAAGGAAAGAAAAAAAAGGAAAAAAAATTAAAAAATCATAATAAACATAATGCCGTGTTTGTCCACCTCAAATTGTTGGCCGTGTCATGTAGGACGGTATGCAATGATTGGATTGCCATGTTAGTAATTTCCAGTGAAATTAGTCGAATGGATTATACTTGAAAATCATAAAAAAAATTTAGAACTAAACTGGTAAAATTGAAAAGTTTAGAATTGAACTGATATCCGTACAATAAGTTGAAGATTGATTTAGTAATTTCCCAAATTACATCCTATCAGGACAAGCTAACCCATCCCAAGGAGTAGGAAGCAGGATGGAGGGAAAAACATTGTGATCGTTACATTCAAGTTACTTCAATTGTTTCTCGATTATCATATAGTGTTCAACTTCAGAAGATCAAATATTGTTTAATTCTCCAGTTCGATTACAGAGAAATCGTTCATGCATCCCAAGATAATTATGAGTGACATGAACTCAAGAGAGAATGACAAGAGAAGATTGAATCGAAACATTATAAACTTATACATCAAATAGGTTTCTAGTAAGTCTGTCCTAACTTGGTAGCTCTCTTTGTCAAATTTTGTGTGATCACCGCCAACTTTTCTAAAAACTTAAACTATTCAATAAATGTGTGGTGTAATATTTAAATACTCTAACACTATCCCCACGCATAAACTGAATTTTGGTTTAAGACTAAGGTGTAGAAATATCTAATTAGAGAGGTAAATATGAACTTGGAAAAACTTGAATGCAAGAACTCTGGCTCAGGCGTTGTGTAATATCTAAATACTCTATCACTCTTCAAGCATTAGATTTCGGCAAATATAGTCGAGGTAGATTATAGAATTTGTGCATGTATATTTTTTTATATATCAATGGGGTGCTTATAGAATTGAATTTTGATACATTATTGAAGTAAGTATATGTATCATTTTGATAGAACATAAGTGGTGAACTAGAATATAAAGGACGACTAATAAACAGGCTTTTCACCCTTACAATTATTAATTGATGATTGTAGAAATCAAGGATTAAGAAAAGGCATTGTACGAAAGAGATCACACACCGTAATTAATTATATTGTATCAAATCGCGAAGTAGACATTGTACGAAAGGGCAATCAACTGAAGAAAGTGATGATTCTTGGTCACCCAGGCGAAACATCCGAAAGGGTTACTTCATTAACGGTAGAAGCTTTGTGAACCAGATCGATAGGATCGAGTGTTTTCACATATCTTCCCACTGAGAATGCAAGCTGCGATGGTTGGGTAAGTGGGATAGTATTACCTCCTAGCATATGAACCACGAGCGACATGGTCGGTCGATCTGCCGGGTCTTCTTGAACGTACAATAGCCCGATGTGTATGCATTTTAGTGCTTGAACTACATCACATGACTCTTTGATTGACGGATCGGTAAGTTCCAACCCTCCACCTTCGGACCACAACTTCCAAGCCTGTCATTTTGCAAGGGAAATAAGCAAGGACAACTGCACGAAATTCTTGGACTTCATATTGGTGACTAGGAACTTACAAGGTGAGAAGGCTTTCACCATGCTCTTGGAGATGAAAACCGCTATTCTTTCGCCCGCTTATCATCTCTAGCATGAGAACTCCAAAACTGAAGACGTCTGATTTAACAGAAAAGAGTCCTTCCATCGCATACTCCGGTGCCATATATCCACTGATCAGAATTATGTGATGAAGAGCAATTACATGGAAGTAAGAAACAAAGAAAAGTGATATTCTGTAGGAAACTTCTGAAATATGAATGTGCTCATTTTGGTGTTGTTGAGCTGATCATCAGAGTTCTTTGTTGGCCTAGTGAATCATTCAAACATGTAACAGACATAGAAAGATATTAAAGCACTTACTAGGTTCCAACAACCCTGTTTGTGTTGGCTTCGTCTTGATTTACATCAAAGATCCTCGCCATTCCGAAATCGGATATCTTTGGATTCATCTCACCATCCAGCAAAATATTGCTGGCTTTTAGATCCCCGTGGATAATTCTCAAGCGAGAATCCTCATGTAGATATAGAAGTCCCCGAGCTATCCCACAGGTGATGTTCATGAGCATCTTCCAATCTAGAGATTTGCCTCGTATTTGAATCTGTCGATGAGAGACTTAGATGAAACTCAAGTTTTTAAAACTAAAATTAACTAGCTAAAAAATTCATTGCAACGGCTAAAGTGTAACGTTTTCCTAATGTGGGTTACATTAATTGAGATTGTTATTACCCGCTTACGGGTTTGGTCTAATAAATTTGGATATAAAGTTTCTTAATTAGTCGGATATGGGCCCGGCTCGTGTGGGCCGAGTTCGGCCCGGCTCGTTATGAGAGGGCATGGCTAGAAACTCTATAAATAGAGCTGCAGGTCCCTCCTCTGCGCCTAACTCTCTCAAATCTCTCTCAAACGCTCTCAAACTCACCTAAGGCTTCTGTGAGTTGGCTGAGGCGTTCTGAGACGGTCTCATAGCGCTGGGACTTCAGGGGCGACAGGGGAGAAGACCTACGGTACCGGATCATCGTTATTTCCGCATCCAGAGACAATGGAATCCAAATCAGGTGCACAAATTCTATCCATTCTTTCACCGTATCGTTAATATCTCGCTATGGTGATCCTAGGGCGCTCGGCCGAGCCATACGGGCCGGCCAACATGTGGTATCAGAGTCGCCATAGTCGAGAAACGGGCCGGTACTATTCGTATGTGATTTTGTTTTTTTCATCCATTTAAAGTTAGAATAAATCACATAGATGGATAGATCGTCGCGAGACGAGAAAAAAGAGTGGTCGCCGGCCACCGGGGGCCACCGGAAATGGCCTCACGTGCCGCCACGCGCCGGGGCGATGGAGAGCCCCAGCGGCACACGTGCGGTCACGCACGGGTGTTCCCAGGCGCGTGCAAGGCACACGCTAGGGTTTCCGCGAGCCGGGTCGATCCGACTAACCCGACCCGACTCCGGATCCGACCCGTGGACCCGACCCAGGGTCCGACCCGTCTCCGAACTCGACCCAGGATCCGACCCGTTGATCCGACCCGTTGACCGAATCGGTCAACCGGTTGGACCAGCAAGCGGTTAGACCGGTCGATGGTCAGACCGATCGGACCGGCCTTTTTGGCTGGCTTAGGCGTTGGCGCGTGAAGACCACGCTCCGCACCTTCAGGTGGCGCGTGAGGGCGCGTCCGATCTCCGATTGGAGCATGCAAGGTACCGGCGTGCTCGTATGAAGATTCTCTACACTGTGGTATATTTATTTTACATGTTTGATACTATTAAGGATGTGAAAATACATACGGAACCCTATATATGCGTATTTTTAGAGTATATTTTCGTATTTTCCTGTATTTCTCTATGGTTTAAGAGATACAGATTAAATCTTACATGTCTATGATGCCATAAGGACGTGTAGATCATGTTTCATTGATAGTATGTATAAGGTTCGACATATATCAATGTGTAGAGCAATGTAATTAGCATGGTATGTAATTTTAGAGATATTGCTCATGTCTTCCAATCTAGAATTACATCTATATAGTATATATGAGACATAAAGTTTATATCCTTAGTATGAGAGAGTTTCAAAGATTCAATTTGGTAGTGACCTCCAAAGTGGCACACTTGATTGAGTTTGAGAAATATCAGTCTCGTATTGTTATGATGTCTCCTGTTCTAATGTGTTATTATACTCCCAAAGGAGGTGATTATGTATTGGTTCATGCAGAGATGCATATACAGCATGCGTGAGGAATGACTGATCCTAGTGGTTCATACACCCAAAGGTGGTAAATTCATAAAAGATTGGAATATATTCTAATGGCCGTTGTAATGTAGAGGGTATACAATTACATATCATGTATTCTGCCCAAAGGTGATTATATGATGATGTGTGTAACTCTCAGGAAAGTACTCACATGATGCTGATTATAGATATTGCTTGTTTTTATCAGTCACCTTCTCCCTGAACGGCAACTCCATAAGTATTGAGGTTCTTACTAGTTCAAACTTTAAGAAATGGAAAGAGGATTTTCTGTTTGGTATGAAGCTGGCAGATATTCATATTGCTCTTACTGAGGATAAGCCAGCAGATGTCACTGCTGAAAGTACGGACATAGAAAAGGCACTGAGTGCTGCCTGGGCAAAGAGCAATAGGATTTGCTTGTTACTGATGAAGCGATCCATTAAGGACCACTTAAAGAGTAGTTTGCCAGTTGACTGCACTGCTAAAGAAATGATGGAAACCTTGCAAGCAAGGAACCGTGACTCGTCTAATGCCGAGGCTGAGACATACATGCAGTTACTCAATAATATGAGGTATGATGGTTCAAGTGGGGTTAGGGATTACGTCCTTAGGATGGTAGACCTCCAGACGAAACTAAAGGTTCATGAGATTATCCTTTCTGATGCTTACATTGTGCATCAAGCCCTGAACACCCTTCCTGCTGAGTTTGGAATTATAAAGACCAACTATAATTTCCAAGATGAAAAGTGGTCGGTCAATGACCTGATAGTTAGGGTAGTGGCAGAGGAAGAGAAACTGAAGAAAGATAAAGGGAATCTTGTTTTCTATACATCTAGTTCCAGTAGTAGGAAGAGTAGTAAGTTCAAGAATCGTACTCAGAAAGGAACTCCTGAAACCACTGGTCATGTGGACCATCTGGGTCTTGAGAAAACACCCTTGAAGAAGAATGGTGTTCACTGTTACTTTTGTAGGAGGAAGGGTCATATGAAGAAAGACTGCAATAGATATAAAACTTGGTTGTCCAAGCGTCAGCAGTCAGGTATTGATTCTTTGGCACTTATTTGTGAATCCAACCTATCAGAAGCTCCATCCAGTTCTTGGTGGCTAGATAGCGGTGCAACTAATCATGTTGCTTATACCATACAGGGATTCACAAACAGAAGGAAGCCAAATCAGGATGAATCAAAGCTTACCGTAGGAAACAACAAGAGAGTCGACGTTGAGTTCGTGGGAGATGTCATATTAATTTCGGATTCTGGTTTTAATATGATGTTAAGAAACACTTTTTATGTGCCTTCCTTTAGACGGAACTTAGTTTCCGTATCAAGTTTGGATGTCCGTGGCTACTCTTTTGAAATAAAGAACAGTATGGTTTCAATGTTCTTTGATTCAAATAAGGTTGGGTGCTGCAACATATCGAATGGATTGTACAGATTGTGTTTATCTCCCAATGATATATACGTCGTTTATATAGCTGAAAGGGTTGTTTCCAAAAGACCTCTACCTAAGGAACAGTCTTATGCATTGTGGCATAAACGACTTGGTCACATTTCTAAGGAAAGAGTGGAAAGGCTGATAAAGACAAACATCCTGCCTACTCTTGAAAGTGACCTAGATACTTGCGTAGACTGTTGTAGGGGTAAGATGACCAAGATAAAGAAGAAAACCGCAGTCCGTAGTTCTGACCTGTTAGAGGTCATTCACACTGACATCAGTGGACCCTATACGGCAACATTGTGTAGAAATTTCTATTTCATCACATTTACAGACGACTATTCCCGATATGGTTATCTATTCTTGATTAAGGAGAAGTCTGAGTTTCTTGACAAGTTCAAGATTTTTCGAACTGAAGTCGAGAAACAGTTGGGAAAAGTCATAAAGGTTGTCAGGTCTGACCGAGGCGATGAGTATTATGGCAGGCATGGCGATGCTGGACAGCTGAAAGAGCCATTTGCCAAATACTTGGAAGATTCTGGAATAGTGGCTCAATTTACTATGCCCAGGAGTCCTGAACAAAACGGTGTGGCCGAAAGGCGGAATCGCACCCTTATGGACATGATGAGAAGTATGATTAGCAGGACAAACTTACCTGATTTTCTGTGGGGTGAAGCTTTGAGGACAGCTCTCTACATTCTAAATCGTGTTCCTATCAAGACTGTTCCAAAGACTCCTTTTGAATTATGGACTGGACATAAACCTAGCGTAAATCATCTTAAAGTTTGGGGGTGTCCTGTAGAAGTAAGGTTATACAATCCAACATTGAACAAGTTGGAATCCAGAAACACTTGATGTTACTTTGTATCATACCCAGATCATTCGAAGGGATATCTGTTTTACAATCCCCATGGAGGCACAAGAATTGTCGAATCACAGACAGCGAAGTTTCTAGAATTTGATGTGGCCGAAGGAGGTAGTTGCTCTCAGACTATTGAGGATAATAATATGGTAGGTACTACAGTATCGATTTTTCTACCTGTACAGACGATAATGGAGACCCCTACACCACAGATTGAGCCTGTTGTGGTCCAGGATCCTATTATTGAAACAGCTCCTGATGAAGTACTTCAAACCCCTCAGGTGCAGGATGAGGAAGTAGTAGCTCCACTCAGGAGATCTATCAGGCAGAGACGATCGGCTATACCACCAGATTATATGGTCTATCTGGGAGAGCATGACTACGATATAGGCTGCGTGGTTGATCCAGTAACTTATTCAGATGTAATTTCTTGTCCTCAATCAGATATGTGGGTGGATGCAATGAAAGACGAGATTCAGTCTATGAAATATAATGGTGTTTGGGAGCTTGTTAAATTGCCTAAAGGTTACAAGCCCATTGGTTGCAAATGGGTATACAAGACTAAAAGGGACTCCAAAGGAAAGATTGAGAAATTCAAAGCCAGACTGGTAGCCAAGGGTTTAACTCAAAGAGAAGGAGTAGATTATGAGGCGATTTTTTCACCAGTATCTTCTAAGGATTCTTTTAGAATGATCATGGCATTGGTAGCTAATTTTGATATGGAATTACACCAGATGGATGTTAAGACTGCCTTTCTAAATGGAGACCTTGATGAGGAAGTCTATATGGTGCAACCCGAAGGTTTTGCAGCTGATGATTCAGGTGAGCTTGTATGTAGATTGAAGAAATCTATTTATGGCCTTAAGCAAGCTTCTAGACAATGGTATTTGAAGTTTCATAGTGTTATCACTTCATTAGGTTTTGTTGAGAACAAGTTGGATCAGTGTATATACAGCAAGGTCAGTGGGAGGAAATTTATTTTTCTCATACTCTATGTAGATGACATCTTGCTTGCGAGTAGTGATATTCGATTATTACATGAGACAAAGCGAATGTTGTCGAAGGATTTTGACATGAAGGACCTTGATAAGGCGTCTTTTGTCCTAGGCATTGAGATCCATAGGGATCGTTCTCGCCGAGTATTGGGTTTGTCTCAGAGAACATATGTTAATCGTATTCTGGAAAGATTCAGTATGCAGGACTGCAAGCCAAGAATTGCTCCTGTCATAAAGGGTGATAAACTGAGTCTGTCACAGTGTTCTCATACAAATATTGAGAAAACCCAAATGAAGGATGTATCTTATGCTAGTGCACTTGGAAGTATCATGTATGCTCAAGTTTGCACTAGACCAGACATTGCTTTTGCAACAGGACTTCTAGGCAAATATCAGTCAAATCCAGGACACGATCACTGGGTTGCTGGCAAGAAGGTGATGAGGTACTTGAAGAGGACAAAAGACTATATGCTGATCTACAGACATGTTCAAA